CATCTTGGACCATCTTGGGCGAACCTGGAGGCCATATTTTGCCATCTTGGTCGTCTTGGATGCCCTCTGGGGGCCGTCTTGCGCGAGAAGTCCAACGGGCGATGCAAATTCCTGATAGCCAGCTGCATCAGCAGAAGCCCTAGGAAGATGTTTTGAACGAGCCAATAACCGTCTGAAATCTAGCACGCTGGGCACCCGTGTGGGAAAACCACACGGGGGCGGGGGATCGAAGACGCCTACGGCGAATCACCGCCATCCCCTGCCTTTTTGGAAGCGCCTACGTGGTCGAACGTTGGGCTAGAACACGTGAGGAAGAGGAGAATAAGGAGAAGACGGGAAAGGGAGTAGCAGGAGGAGGAGGAGGAGGAGGAGGAGGAGGAGGAAGAAGGGAAGATGAAGGAAAACTCCTCTTGGAAGCCTCTTGGGACACATTTCGGGTCTCCTGGGAGCTTCCTGGGGGCCTCTTGGAGGCCTCTTCGGGGCCTCCTTGGGCCTCGTGGGGGCCTTTGGGGGCTTGCTCGGTGCCTCTTTGGCCGTCTTAGGGCGTTCCTGTTCCGTCTGCCGCCGTCGGAAGCCTTCTTGGGGGCCTCTCTGAACCGACTTGGGGCCCTCTTGGGGTGCTTCAGGGCCTTCCTGGAGGCCATCTTCGGCGTCTTGGAGGCCTGTTGGGCCGTCTTGGGGCTCCCGTGGGGGCCGTCTCGGGGGCCTCTCGGGCCCTTCTGAAGCCATCTTGGAGGCCTTTTTGGCGATCTTGGGGCGACCTTGGGGGGCTCTTGGGCCGTCTCGGGCCGTCGGAAGACTGAAAAAAAGCAACTGCGAAGATCCTGGAGTATCCATGGTTGTTGCCTCCTCAGGCCTTCCTGGATACCCTTGTGGAGGCTTCTTGGGCAGTCTTGGAGGCCTCTTCGGAGCCTCTTGGGCCATCCTGAAGCCAGCTTGGGCCGTCTGGGTGGCTCATTGAGTGCACTTGGAAGCATCTTGGACCCCCGTGGTCCATTTTGCAAACCATATAGGCCCGTCTTGGGCGAACTTGGAGGCCATCTTGGACCATCTTAGTCTTCTTGGAGGCCCTCTGGGGATCATCCTGCGCGTGACAAAGAGCGATGCAGATTCCGCACGCCAGGCACCCCTGTTAGCACAGGGGGCGGTGGATCGACGATGCCTACGGCGAATCACTGCCGCCCCATGCCTTTTGTAACATACGCCTGTTTGGCTGTACATTTGGGCCAAGTTCGGCCACGCTGTTGGACCATGCGTTCCCCCAGCCGCCCCAGCCGTTGTGGGAACCCGTTGGGGAAGACGTGGGAAAGGAAGTGGAGGAGGAGGAGAGGGAGGCACAAGGAGTGAGGAGAAAGATGCGGCGACCTCTTGGTAGCTGCTTGTGCCATTTTTGGCGCCTCCTGGGAGCTTCCTGGGAGCCTCTTGGAGGCCTCTTGGAGGCCTCCTTGTGCGTCTTACGGGGCCTCTTGGGGACCTCTTGGGGTCTTAGGGGGCCCCTTGGGCTGTATTACGGCGTTTCATGCCCGTCTGACGCCGTCGGACGTGTTCTTGAGAGTCTCTTTGGACCATCTTGGGGCCCTCTTGGGGCACTTCATGGTCGTCTCGGAACCCGTCTGGGGCGTCTGGGATGCCTTTTGGACTGTCTTGGGGCCCTTGAGGCGCCGACTTGGGTGCAGTTTGGCCGTCCTGGGGTCATCTTGGAGGCCTCTTGGCCGATCTTTGGGCAATCTTTAGGGCCTCTTGGGCCGTCTTGGGCCGTTGGATATGCCAATTTTGAAGCAAATGCGAACATCCCTGAGCAACCTAAAGGAATCAATGATTTTGGCATCCTCGGGCCTTCCTGGAGGACTTCTTGGAGGCCTCTTGGGCCGTGTTGGAGGCCTCTTGGGGGCGTCTTGGGCTGTCTTAGGCCATCTTGAGGCCATCTTGGGCCGTCTTTGGTGGAGGTGGAACGGGGCGAAATGTGGAGAATGAAGGGGGGGGACGGCGTGCGAATGGTGATAGACAGTGGGGAGGGAGGCGAGGAGGATATACAATTATGAGGAGGAGGAGGAGGTCGAAGGGGAGGAGAAGCGTGGGCATGATGGCTGATGATTACGAGGATGCCAGGCAGATAATGGAGCCGCACCATAGCTATTTTGGCTGTAGGGCCTCCGCCTGGCATGGGGCACGTGAGCTGGCCGCTATGATTGGGAAGGTCAGCGCGGGCCGGGTACAGCAGTACTGAGTATCATGTGATGTTTCTTGCACGTTCTACGGCGCCGCAGTTTGCAGGGCATCGCACGCGAAGCAGGATGCGCCTCGCATTTTACCAACTCCCCGGCACACAACTACATCATTAATGTGTCTTGGGTACATCTCGTCGGTTGGCAACGGCTACAGCTCGCGACGTTGAAACGTGTTGCAGTTGATTTAGCAGTGGGCTTGAAGTCAATGATAGTACGGTTGTTTTTTTTAGGCCCGCGGCTTCGGCCTTTGAAGGCCTCGAGCAAAGGATTTAGAACATCACGTTCGGTCCTTAGGTTTGCGGTTGGCAGCTCTAGCCGTTGAGGGCGTTTATCTCACGCGTCATGCATATTACCAATTTGTCCATGGTCTGTACCACACGATTGCAGCTGTTTTGCGTGGGCCCATCGCTGCGAGTTGAATACGGTGCGCCTGCAGTTGGCGACGCTCCGTATGCTTTCTCGCTGCCGCAGCAATGTCGGCCAGCGTGGGCCCCAAACGGTGGTCTCTAGCATGCTAGGTGATACAGGCTACGTGGGGAAGGCTATGCGGTTCAAGCTGTATGGTGTATGCTATGTGGTGAAAGCTTCGTGTCGTGTAAGCGGTGCGTTGCAATCTATATCGTGCAATACTTGTGGTGCGATCTATGGGGTGTGAGCTATATGGTCCAAGCTATTCGGTGCAATCCAGGTGGTGCGATCAATGTGGTGCAATATTTGTAGTGCACTCCAAGTGTTACAATCTACGCAGTGCAGTCTCCAATGCGCTGTGAGTGTTTTTGGTGTAGGCTATGTGTTGGAAGCTATGTGGGGACAACGTGGTCATCTATGTAGTGTGAGCAATGTGGTGTAAGCTACGTGGTGCAATCTATCCAATCCGATCTAGTGGTTGCAAGCTGTATGGTGCAAAATATATGGCGCAAGACGTGTGGTGCAGTCTATGTGGTACAACTAACTACACCGAAGCAATGGCAATCCCGTAGCTCGTACGAAACCCAAGGTCTTGCACACATCCCACCCACCCGCCCGCAACTGGGGAAACATACGTATTATGACCGTGACTGCTGTCAACTCCAATGCTGTCGACTCCAATGTTCGCGCGCAGTCATCTCACCCACCCATCCGCAACTTGGTTTGCAAAACCCATGAAGAAGCGATTGCGATGAGTGCTGGGTGTTGACTGGTGCATCTCTGCGGCCGCGCTAGCCCGCACATGCTCGCGCGCGCAGCGGCCAGTTAGTTCGGCGCGACCGACGCAAACGCGGTGGCTCTGACCAATCGGCACATCCCAGCAGGCACTTCAGTGCGAGTCGGCGATTTGGGCGGGCGCGGTATCATGGCAACATCGACGACGGTAGGTAAAATCATGATAGTAGCGATGTTGCTGACCATGTTGGCAGCGACGACGGGGCAGCCAGTGACGGCGCCGATGCAAATCACGCTGGCGACGATGACGGCGTCTTCGCGTCGGTGATGCAGGTTTTGAAAGGAATTCGAAATGCGCGCGCGGCAGACGCGCGAGAGTGGGCCGCATGGTGTTATTTGACATGGATCGTGCCACCCCAGCACGCGCGCAAGGGCGTTCGAGCGACTTCGGCATGCGCGCGATCTCGGTCTGGTAGAATTTTGATGACTGTGTCTCAACAGGGCTCAACAGGTATGGTTGCCAAAAGAATTCGCAAGAGTGCACGCGCATTTTTTGTTCGAGCAGTCGATTTTGAATTCCTTCCGAAACCGAAGGTTTTGAAGGATTTCGGCATGCGCGCACGACGACGCTCGCGTGTGCAGTTCGTCCTACCTGTTGGCAGGGATTCTCGCGACGGCACGCGCGCAAAAGCGTTCGAACGATTTCGGCATGCGCGCGCGAAGTCCGTCTGGTAGCATTTTATGACAATGTTGAAGCACCTATGGTTTCCGTCGGCATTCGCCAAAGCGCGCAGGTTTTTTTGGTTTGGAAATCCGTGCTGCGAAACCAATGTTTCAATCTGTTTTGAGTTTCTGCCGTAACCGAAGGTTTTTGACGGATTCCCGCATGCGCGCGCGACGACGCGCGCGTGTACATTTCGTCGAATGCTTTTGCCCAGGATTCTTGTGAAAATTTCTGGTTTTGATAAACGAGTGCGCGCGCATAGTAGTTTTTTGCTGAGGACGGCGGGGGGGGCCGATACCGGCCCCCCTGGGATGGTGTAAATTCATAGCTCGGATGGACGATGGGGCACAATCGTATGTAAATTGCGATACGAAAAAGTGAGTCTTTAACCCTTGGGCGGCGAGGATGGTAGAACCTATTTCCTTTTTAGAAAAGAAAATCGATGTGGTGTGATTTGTGTTGTGCAATTCACGTGGTGCAATCCAAGTGGTGCGATCTATGTGCTTTAGGCTACGAAGTGCAATCTAGGTGGTGGAGGCCGTGCGGTGCAATGCGACGCACTGCGCAACAATGCGCACCAATGCGAAGCACGGCGAAGCAACACAATGCGGTTGCGCTGCAATGCGGTGCGAATGCAATGTGATGTTGCGACGAGGCGGCGGCGACGGGCGGCGAAGAGGCGGCAACGTGCGGCGGTGAGCGACGACGGGGCGGCGACGGGGCGACCACAAGCCGGCCGGGGAGGCGCACGCACGAACCCGCAACGAGGCGGCGACGGGCTTCGACGAGCGGGGACGGGGCGGGGAGAAGCTGGTCGGGGTGGCAGACGAGCCCAGTTCTTTGAAAACGAAATAAAAGCCCTTTAGTGCAAGCACTGTCTGGGGAATAGTTTGTGTGTTGGGCCCTCCGAAACACGAGCCACGTATAATATTGCTCCAGCATGGGACAGAACTATTCCCACAACTCCGACGTGGAGTTTTTTGTTGCGTTGTCGATCCCTGGAACTCTTGACGCTGTGTTCCAGGATCGTGTTGTTCGCCAGGTTGTGTTTGATGCCTCGGGGCGCGAGGAAGGCCCTTGGAGGCTCCATGCTTTGGAACACAGCCTGTAATATCGTACTTGTCCGTTTCCGCGACCCCAGAGGTAGGGGAAGCGCTGGAAATAGTATTGCCCGTACCCGGTCCGTGGTGATGGGAGGCCTGGCTGCCGCCCCACGGTCTGTCGCGCTCGTGCAGGGGTCAGGCATGGAAGCGCCGGCCATCGCGGCGGAGGTGCTCGAGGCCTTAGAAGCCGTGCTTCCAGAGGATGCCCCAGCGGGCCACGAGGCGTGGCAGAAGGTCCCTCGTGGGCGGGGTATTCATATCTAGATATATCTATATCGGCATCTGTTTGTATGCATCTAATGGATGTATGTATGTTTGCATACATGCATACATGTCCGTATGTATGAATGTCTGTGGGTATGTACATATGTACGTATGTGTATACATGTATGTATGTATGCGTGTATGCAGGTCGGTCTGTCTGTCTGCCTGTCTGTCTGTATGCATGCATGCATGCATGCATGCATGTATGTATGTATGTATGTATGTATGCGTTTATATCTACACCTAGCTGTATGCATATATATATATATATATATATATATATATATATGCTCGCCCCCCCCACATGATCATACACATGCTCCCTTGATCCCTCCAGTCGTTCATCCCCCTTCCTCCTCCTGCTCTTCTTGATTATGTTTTGCTACGTTGTCAGACGCAACCCAGTCGATTGCATTCCAAGCGCTTGCGGCTTCAATCGTTGGCAACGCATTACAATCCAATCGGCTGCGTTGCAGTTGATCATTAAGAATCGTTTTATAGAGGTTCTTCTCCCTCTCCCTCCTCCTCCTCCTGATCCTCCTCATCCGCCTCATATTCCTCCTTCTCTTCCTTCTCATCCACCTAAGTCTCCTTCTGTGAAGGGTTTCAACGCGAATCCTTCTGTTGATAATTTCAATAGGAATCCTTCTATGGCGAATTGTGTTGTAGCGGGAGGTTCCTCGCAAAACTAGTTGTGCAGCTGCGTTCACAACTAGATTTGTGAGTATCGCCTCGAAGCGGAGAGAAGGGGGCACAATGACGAGGAGCAGGAGGAGCAAGAGCAGGAGGAGGAATAATATGAGGGTGAGGAGCATGACGATGACGAGGAGGAACTCAGTACTCACAAAACTAGTTGTTGAACGCCGTTCGCAACTAGTTTTGCGAGTAGTGTCTTGTAGCGGGAGGTTCCTCGCAAAACTAGTTGTGCAGCTGCGTTCACAACTAGATTTGTGAGTATCGCCTCGAAGCGGAGAGAAGGGGGCACAATGACGAGGAGCAGGAGGAGCAAGAGCAGGAGGAGGAAGAATATGAGGGTGAGGAGCATGACGATGACGAGGAGGAACTCATTACTCACAAAACTAGTTGTTGAACGCCGTTCGCAACTAGTTTTGCGAGTAGTGTCTTGTAGCGGGAGGTTCCTCGCACAACTAGTTGTGCAGCTGAGTTCACAGCTAGAGTTGTGAATATTGCCTCGAAGCGGAGAGGAGGGGGCACAATGACGAGGAGCAGGAGGATCAGGAGAAGGAAGAAGAGGAGGGTGAGCAGCACGACGATGACGAGGAGGAACTCATTACTTACAAAACTAGTTGTGGAGCGTCGTTCGCAATTAGTTTTGCGAGTAGTGTCTTGTAGCGGGAGGTTCCTCGCAAGACTACTCGTGCAGCTGAGTTCACAACTGGATTTGTGAGTATCGCCTCGAAGCAGGGAGAAGGGGGCACAATGACGAGGAGCAGGAGGAGCAGGAGGAGCAGGGGAAGGAAGAAGAGGAGGGTGAGAAGCATGACGATGACGAGGAGGAACTCATTACTCACAAAACTAGTTGTGGAGCGCCGTTGACAATTAGTTCTGCGAGTAGTGATTCGTAGCGGGAGGTTCCTCGCAAGAGTACTTGTGCATTTGCGTTCACAACTAGATTTGTGCGTATCGCCTCAAAGCGGAGAGAAGGGGGCACGATGACGAGGAGCAGGAGGAGCAGGAGCAGGAGAAGGAAAAAGAGGAAGGTGAGCAGAGGGGGGGGGCAGAATGACGAGCAGGAGGAGCAGGAGGGCAGACGAGCAGGAGGAGCAGGAGGAGGAAGAAGAGGAGAGTGCGGAGCATGACGATGATGAGGAGGAACTCATTACTCACAAAACTAGTTGTGGAACGCCGTTGACAACTAGTTCTGCTGACGAGGAGCAGGAGGAGCAGGAGGGCATCGTCATGCCCCTCGCCCTTCTCTTCTTCTTCCTCCTGCTCCTCCTGCTCCTCGTCATTGTGCCCCCTCCTCTCCGCTTCGAGGCGATACTCACAGCTCTAGTTGTGAACTCAGCTGCACAACTAGTTGTGCGAGGAACCTCCAGCTACAAGACACTACTCGCAAAACTAGTTGTGAACGGCGTTCCACAACTAGTTTTGTGAGTAATGAGTTCCTCCTCGTCATCGTCATGCTCCTCACCCTCTTCTTCTTCCTCCTCCTGCTCCTCCTCCTGCTCCTCGTCATTGTGCCCCCTTCTCTCCGCTTCGAGGCGATACTCACAAATCTAGTTGTGAACGCAGCTGCACAACTAGGAGGAGCAGGAGGGCAGAGGAGCAGGAGGAGCAGGAGAAGGAAGAAGAGGAGGGTGAGCAGCATGACGACGACGAGGCGGAACTCATTACTCACAAAACTAGTTGTGGAGCGTCGTTCACAATTAGTTTTGCGAGTTGTGTCTCGTAGCGGGAGGTTCCTCGCATAATTAGTTATGAAGCTGCGTTCACAACTAGATTTGCGCGTGTCGCCTCGAAGCGGAGACGAGGGGGCAGAATGACGAGGAGCAGGAGGAGCAGGAGAAGGAAGAAGAGGAGAGTGATCAGCATGACGATGACGAGGAGGAACTCATTACTCACAAAACTAGTTGTGGAGCGCCGTTCACAATTAGTTTTGCGAGTAGTGTCTTGTAGCGGGAGGTTCCTCGCAAAACTAGTTGTGAAGCTGCGTTCGCAACTAGATTTGTGAGTATCGCCTCGAAGCGAGCATGATGAGGAGGGTGAGTTGCAGAAGGAGGAGGGTGAGGAGCCGTAGAGGATCTCAATGGGAATCTCCTTTCGCAGAGGATTTCAATAGGAATCCTTCTGTGGAGGCCGAACGCCAGCGAAAACCCTTCAGAAAACAAAAAAAAAAAAAAAACTATGATTTCTGGAGAACTTTGGCCGGCCCCCTCCCCAGAAGTTCTCCCGAAATCATAGTTTTTTTTTTTTTTTTGTTTTTTTGTTTTTTTGGTTTTTTGCAGGTTTTTTTAGTTTCTGACGATTTCGATGATTCCGAGAAGGAATAGCACGGGGAGGAGGAGGAGGAGGAGGAAGAGGAGGAGGAGGAGGAGAGAAAGGAAGAGACAGGAGAAGGGAACGGAGAAAGAAGATATCGATCGGCGGCCGCGGTAAAGACGAATCTGTATGATCATGTGGGGGGGGCTACCATATATATATATATATATATATATATATATATATATATATATATATATATGATGTCCGTATTCACTGTCTCGCAGTCTGGTCTTCTCGGCCACGGCCCGATGGTTGCGGGGCGGCTTCGCAAGGCCACCCCCTGCGAAGCGTGCCCACGGCATCGCGCAGGCCTCGGATCTCTCGCATCTCTGTGCCTTGGCCGCGAGGGCCTCGGCACGGATATGCCTTCGGCGCTCGTGGCTCCCGGGGCCGCTTGCATGGGGCCAGACGGTGAGACTCACGCCGGGCATGCTCCTCTACAGGGGGAGTATTCTCGGGGGCCCCCAAACGGGGCGGTGACCACACCGTGCGGCGAGTCGGTGGGGATTCGGGGTCGCCGCACGGTTTTGGGACTCGGGTCGTTCTCCGAGGACGCCTCGGGCAACAGGGGCCTCCAGGGTCCCAAAACCGTGCGGTGACGGACCGTGCGGTGAGTTCTTAGGGGATTTCGAGGTCACTGCACGGTGTGTCACCGCACCGTTTCGGGACTCCAGATATTCAGTATTGTTTCACCGAACCCCATCCCCATCCCCATCCACATCTCGAGCCCCGCCGGCTCACCGCCCCAGTTGGGGATCTGCCCCTTGCAACCCGAAGAGACCAGCCTACATCCCCATCAGGGGGGTACATCGGCCAGGGGGGCCCAGCCCACGCTGGTGGGGATGGGGATCGGTTGAACGATGCGCAAATATTCAAGCATAGTCGAAACATAGTCGGGGGACGATGTTTAGATTATTTTTCATTATTTTTGGTGTTCTTTTAAACTGAGTTGGAACTTTCTCCCGAAATCCGCCTGTAGGAGGACGTGCCCGACCTAAGGTTAGACGGTCAATGACGTTTTTGACCGTTTTCCTGCCTCCAGGGGCCTATGTAGATTTTGGAGGCATCGGGGGGACCTCCATGGGGAAGATGGTGTCGCATTTCCGATGTATCGGCGATGCGGCTCGAATCAGAGCCCCATCTTCTCCATCATGGCGTCGCTGACGCATCTATTCGGTGCGGTCTTCCCACCCCATTGACTCGGGCCTTGATCGGGCGGCTCGCAAAGGTCAAGTTCACTAGCACCCACAGCTGGCCGCACAGCAGGTTCTATTTCGGGACGCAGAGATTCCAGGCGACCCTCGGGAACTGCCTCACCGAGCAGGCCACACAGCGCGTGGCTCGGGCCTGCTACGTGAGATTCTCGGACGGTGACCCGCAGGAAAAGGTCGCCGAGTTCAGGAACCAGATCTACGCCAAGATCAAGGGAATCCAGGGAAACGGTGCGGCTGCGGGAGACCCTGCCAAGATGGGGGGCTGGAGTGGTAGCCAGGCCCCCATGCAGTAGGAGCTCGACCACAAGAAACCCTCCACAAGAAGCCCAGCCCTGAGACCCCAGGACGTTCGTTGATTTTTGGTGTGGGAACGTCACGCTTTCCATAGCACAAGCGTCGAAACCAAAGGCACCACTGGCACCCTGGAGGCAGGTAGGGTGTTTCTTGGAATGGGTTTCCACTGTGTTCTCCCATTGCCCCCTTCGGAGTGCATGGGGGGAGGGGCGGGTGTTATGGCCCAGTTGAATGACCCCCCACCTTTAAGTTTTGTTCAGTGCGTCGCCCGTGCGCCAGCCCTGATTTGCGCCTCTGTGCTTCGTCCCAACCTCCCAGATTTCGTGTGCGACACACGGCGCGACTTCCAGATTTCGTTGGGGACAATCTTGGTTTCCAACGCTGGTGCCATAGCAGCCAGCTTCGCATTCGTGGCGCATTGTAGTTCGATGGTTCACCGACACGCCATGTTTCGCACCCGCGTGCAAAATCATTCGCTGGTGCGTCCTTTCGGAGAGCGCCAACCGTAACAGAGGACGGAGACGCGTCGCGTTGATTATGGGTTTCGTTGGGGGGGGTCACGTCGCGTCGTGCGATGTGTCGCCTCTTCGCCCCGCCGCATGGCGCCCCACTTGCCCATGTCGGCTCGAGCCCTTCCTTATCTCTCTCCCCTTCTTCCTTCTTCCTCCGTTAGTCGAACGCGCTGGGCAGTTGGCCCCGTGTGAGACATTGCACGTAGCACCCCGCAGTCGCGTATAAGAGTGAGGGGGGCGGCGGGGAAGTCTGCAGTCTGCGAGGCTTTGAAGAAGTCCGCCGCAGGCGCGGAACTTGTACAAATCATACAGGGAGTTCGCCGCAGGCGCCGGCTTGAAGCAATGTGGGTGGGTCGCGGGGAGGGTCGCGGGTGGGTCGCGGGTGGGTGGCGGGTTGGTCGCGGGGGGATCGCGGGCCGCGTCGCGGGTGGGTCGCGGTTGGGTCACGGGGCGGGTCGCGGGGCGGGTCGCGGGTGGGTCGCGGGTGGGTCGCGGGCGGGTCGCGGGGAAGGTTGCGGGTGGGTCGCGGGCGGGTCGCAGGTGGGTCGCGGGGTGGATCGCGGGCGTGTCGCGAGCCAGGTCGCTGAGGGGACGTCGCCAAGCAACCGCACAAACAAACACGTAAACACACACGCACACACAAACAACCAGCTAGACAAACATGGCAACAAACAAACAAACAACCGCACACAATCAAACAAACAAACAAACAAACACACCAACAAACAAACAACCAACCAACCGACCAAACAAACAAACACGCAAACAAACAAACGCACACAACCAAACACATACACGCACCAACACCAACACCAACAACAGCAACCAAGCAAACAAACAAACAAACCCATACTCAAACAACAACAATATTCCGCATCGTGGAACCCCACTTCAGCCACGCACCCAAGGACAGTGAATGACCGTTCGGTCCCTTCTCTCTGACGTAACTGGTGTTGTCAGGCTGACGGTCTCCCCTTCTCTATTAACTGTCTCCCCCTCTCTACCCCCTTGCCCTTCCAGCCCCAGCACTCCTGCAACTTCTCTCTCGCCCTCCTCGCTCCCGCTGCCTCTTTTCGACTGCTACAATACAGGCCTCGGAACAAATTAGCGAACACTCATGCCAAATTCATGTGTCAACGCCTCCCCCATCCCCCAATGTTCAAAGTTGGCGGTGGGTTTGTTGAGGCCGCAGTGTTTTCCGCGCGTGCCAAAATTGAGTTGGGGGGAGGGGGAGTGTTCGGTAATTGTTTCCCTCTACCTCAGATCCCGCCGCCGCTGCGCCGTCCCCGCCTGCCCCGTCCTTGCCCTTCCGTTCCTTTCTCCAACGCCTTCGCGTCGCTTCTCTCCCTTTATTACGAAGGCCTTACGGCCGGTGCCGCCGACCCTGGAGGGCGACCCGTGCGTTTTCTAATGTGGCGGGGGGGGCCTCTTGGGGCTTCCTGGGGGCCTCTTGGGGGTCTCGTGGTGGCTTCTTGGGGGCATCTTGGGGCTTCCTGGGAGCCTCTGTCGCCGAAGGCTCGTCGGGCCCCCCGTCTGGGCTCCTGTTGGAGCCGTTTGGGGAGCCTCCGGGGCCATCTTGGAGGCATCTTGGGCGGTCTTGAGGCTCCCTGGTCATTTTGGGGCTCTCTTGAGGCCTCTTGGGCTATCTTAGGGCAATATTGGGGGCATCTGTGGCCGTCTTGGAGCGTCGGCAAGTTGAAACGGCGAGAACGCCAAAATCTGTCAAAAACTTTAAGGAAATCGTTGATTTGTCCCTCTTCGTGCCCTCTTGGGAGTGCTCTTGGAGACTTCTTGGAGCGTCTTGGCAATCTCTTGGGCCGTCTGGAGGCTACTTTGGCGTCTTCGACCGATGGTTCGGCGATTCGGGGCCCTCTGGAGCCGTCTTGGAAGCCTCTTGGGGCACTCTTGGCCAGTCTGGGGGCTTTTCTAGGTCCCGGGACATCCCGGGGGGGATGCGTATCTGCCCCCCCCCCCCCCCCCGGGACCCCCCCCCCCCCCCCCCGGCGGGGAAGGGATCAAAGGGAAGGGGCTTCCCTTCGACTCAGCTACGACGTTGCTCAATTTCGCTTTGCCTTCGACTCAGCTACGACGTTGCTCGATTTCGCTTTGGTTTCGCTTTGGCTGGCGCGCCTGAGGGGAGGACGACGACGACGACGACGACGACGACGACGACGACGAACGGAAGAGCATCGACGACGACGACGACGACGACGACGACGACGACGACGACGACGACGACGACGACGGCGGCGACGACGACGACGACGACGTTCACGACGAACGGAAAAGCATCTTCCACACGCCGACAGGGTCGGCGGATTTTCTCTTCCCTCACTGCATCGGCGGGCGAGACGTCGCCATGTTGCTGCACTGATGCGTCTAATGCTCCGATGCTGCCGCGCTGTGCGCTTCCAGTTGGTTCGTCCGCGCGCGGTGCAACTCCATGTCGTCAACTTGTCTCTTCGTGTTCGTTGTTTTCGCGTGCTCGCTTCGTTCCTTGTGTGATTGCCGCGCGCATTCTTGCATTGTTTCGCTAGTAATCCGTGCTGTGTTCATGCCGTCGGAGGTCCACGGCGCCTTTCAGCGATTCGCACGCGACCCACGCGCGACGCACGAACGACCCGACAGACGCACGCGCGACACGCGCAGCGCACGCGCGACCCGCGCGCGACACACCCCCGGCTGCGCGCACCGCACTCTCGACCTTGTGCGCGTTACCTTGTGCCCTGTACTGCAATGCGCAACGGCCGGCGGCTTGCCGTGCTTGCGGTGTTCACGAGTGACGGCGGCTGTGTCCTCAATTGGCCCGGGAACGACGGCGATCCGCCCTTTGTTCATCCATTTCCTCCTTCCTCGTCATCCCTTGTCTTTCCTCCTCCTTCGTCCTCCTTCTTCACCCTTCCCCCTCCCTCTTTCCTCGTGTTTCCTTTGCTCCCCATCGCCACCTTCTCCCTTGATTTTCTTTCTGCAGTTGTCTGTTTGCTTTTTCGGCTACCCCCCCCGCGGCCGCGGCGTTGGGCCGCGACTTGGGCCTCCGCATTCAGCGAGGGGCTCCTCCGGTGGTGGGGGAAAAGGAGGATGATGAAAAGGAAGGCGATGAAGGAGGGACGGGCGATAGGCGACCGCGGCAGCAGGGGTAGCTTGACAGGGGAAGCGTGACGGGGGAGTGTGGGGGGGATGATTTGGGCGGGGCTGGTTCTAATTGTCATGTTGGTGATCGTGGTCGTGGTTGTGGTTGTCGCGGTGGTCGGGTTGGTGGTGGTCGCGCCGTTGGCGGTGGGCGGGCTGGCGGTGGTCACGCTGGTGATCGCGAGGGTCGTGGTGTTCGTGGCGGTGGTCGCGGTCGGTGGTGGTGGTCGTAATCGTCGCGGTGGTCGTGGTTGTGGTCGCGGGTGCTGGTGATTATCGTGGCGGCGGTACTCATGGTGCTGGCGGCGGTCGTGGTGGTTGTGGCGGCAACGGCGCGGACATGTTAGCCTAGCGTCGGGGTGCGTTCAACAGCGTCATGGCACTACACGTTTAGAGGGAGCTGCTAACCTGCCGGGGTCGCCCAGCAACCGCTTTTTCACCAAGGGGACCGTTGCGAGGGCGACTTGATTTTTACCGAAGGCGCATGGCTTGTTCGGCGGCCGTCAATGAGACGACGTGCGGGCGATCCGCTTCGTGGGTGCCCGCCGATGTGGCGACGCACTCGCCGAAGGACCCCTTGCGAGGGAAACGCGCGTATTCGCGAGGACGGCCGGCCTTTTTGGCGGCCGACGCACGGGCGACGCATGCGTGACACACCCCTTGTGGCGGAAGGGGGTCGTCAGCACGCCAAATGATTAATTGGGCCCTGCCAGGAATGGGGGGAGTGATGATGAGGACGATGATGGTGATGATGGTGATGATGGTGATGGTGATGGTAATGGTGATGATAATGGTGGTGATGCTGATGCTGCTGGTGAAGATGATGGTGATGACGATGATGATGTTGACGATGGTGATGAGGATGATGACGATGATGATGATGATGATGCTGATGATGATGATGGTGATGGTGCTGCTGGTGATACCCCTTGCGAACATATCGGGGGCACCATGAGCCGTCTTCAGCTCATGGAAGCCCAGAAAGGTGAGAATGCGAACGTCCCTCCAAACATTATTTCAATTAACGAATTCGGCCCATTCGGGCCCTGCTGGAGGTTCCCATTCGGGCCCTCTGGTGTCGCGTGCCTTGATCGCGAGGGATTGCCAGAACCGTCCAATTTCTTTTTTGGGGAGGGGCCATTTGTGGTGTTAGACACGATCAATCGGATCGTATACATATGTATATTACTGTATGTGTATATGTTATGTTCCTTTATGTGCAAATAAGCATGTATACGCATTTGTGAAGGTGTATACATGTATGCATGTACGCTCGTGAGCGCACGTTTATTTAAACTTGAATGCTTCTGGAAAAAAAAAACGGCAAATTGTGACGTCATGACATGGACTTATGCTTCAATGTGTGCACGCACGCACCTGTGTATACACATATGTATACGGCTGGATTCAACTTATGATGCGCATGGTCGCACATAACCGACACTTTGAATCAGTGTAGATATGTATGCGGCCTGTCTGGTTTAG